AGGAAGCTAGGGTCCCAAACTCTTGAGTCCTGGAGAAAGAAGAGCTTGGAGTCTTATAAAAGGGATATGCCTGAGGCTCACCATGGGTGTGAAGGAGGTGGCTGGATCCTCGGGCCTCTGGGGACTACTTAGGGATGTGACTGCTTTCCTGGTCTCTCTCTGATCCAAACTCTGCCCCACCCCAGCCATGGCCAACACTCCTCAAGAATTGGCAGCTCCTGGCAGTCAACCACCCAGGCTACATGGCCTTCCTCACCTATAATGAGGTCCAAGAGCGTCTGCAGGCCTGCAGGGACAAGCCAGGAAGGTAAAGGGTCCAGGGCTTGGAGGAACAAGGCTGCCGGGCTCAGGGATCTGGGCTCTGGGCTGGTGCATGGTGGAGCCCAGATGTCCTTCCAAGAGTGGGAACAGAGGTACCCGGGACCCCAGAGAGTTGATAACTCAGAGGCAGGACATTGAGTGCCCCTCCCAGCCCGTCTCTTCTCTGGAGACCTCCTGTACTGTCCCATAATCCTGCAGCTAAGGGATAGTGCCCGCTGTAGCAAGGAGCCCAAAGACCCTGCTTCAGGGTAACGTCCATTTCTGGTAGGTCAGAGCCATATTGCACCATCTGTTCAATATTTGGAGGGTGACTTTCCCACCTATTGGCATAGGAGACTGAAAAACAAGATGTGTGAGTCCTTAAATTATTTCAAGCCAGGAGTTTTGAGCTCTTGGGTACCCCGCCCCGCCCCCGACAATTCTCAGAGGGCTGAGAGTTGAGCTGTCTAGAATACCAAGAGAATAGGAGGTCACGTTTGTGAGTCTCTGCAGGGCTGAGGTGTAGGAGTAGGAAGGTGAGTGCATTAGCATTCTTCCAGTTACACTTCAAACTGATTTAAGCGAAAAGAAAAAGGAAATAATAAATTCCTATAATTGAAAAGGCCAGGCCTGGCACAGTGGCTCACACCTGTAATCCCAGCACTTTGGGATGCCGAGGCGGGCAAATCACTTGAGGTCAGGAGTTCAAGACCAGCCTGGCCAACATGGTGAAACCCCATCTCTACTAAAAATACAAAAATTAGGCCTGTCACGGTGGCTCACGCCTGTAATCCCAGCACTTTGGGAGGCCGAGGAGGGTGGATCACCTGAGGTTAAGAGTTTGAGACCAGCCTGGCCAACATGGCGAAACCTCGTCTCTACTAAAAATACAAAAAAAATTAGCCAGGCATGCACCTGTAATCCCAGCTACTCAGGAGGCTGAGGCAGGAGAATTGCTTGAACCCGGGAGGCAGAGGTTACAGTGAGTCAAGATCATGCCATTGCACTCCAGCCTGGGCAATAAGAGCAAGATTCTGTCTCAAAAAAAAAAAAAAATACAGTCGGGCGTGGTGACTCATGTCTGTAATTCCAGCACTTTGGGAGGCCAAAGCAGGCAGATCACGAGGTCAGGAGATCAAGACCATACCGGCTAACAGGGTGAAACCTTGTCTCTACTAAAAAAACAAAACGAATTAGCCAGGCGTGGTGGCGGGTGCCTGTAGTCCCAGCTACTCGGGAGGCTGAGGCAGGAGAATGGCATGAACCCGGAAGGCAGAGCTTGCAGTGAGCCAAGATTGCGCCACTGCGCTCCAGCCTGGGTAACAGAACAAGACTCTGTCTCAAAAGAAAAAAAAAATACAAAAATTAGCGTGGCATGGTGATGTGTGCCTATAGTCCCATTTACTTGGGAGGTTGAGGCACAAGAATCACTTGAACTCGAAAGGCAGAGGTTGCAGTGAGCCAGGATCCTGCCACTGCACTCCAGCCTGGGCAACAGAGC